GAGAAGAAGATTTTTGAAATTTTAGTCAATTTGACCCTTTTTGGCCCCGCCCCTCAGGCCCCTGGGGGCTTAGGACTAAACCGGCAACTATTTTTGTTGACCTTTGTCCATGGAAGGTCCCTGCAAAATTTCATTGAAATTGGTTCAGGGGATTTGGAGAAGAAGTCGAAAATGTAAATTGTTTACGGACGGACAACGGACGACGGACGACGACGGACAAAAGGCGATCGCAATATAGGTCACTTGAGACTTTGTCTCAGGTGACCTAATAACAAAGCATTAAGACTTAGAAGTATCTTTGTTATTAAGTTTATTACTCTAAATAAAACCTGTAGATAATATGATAATTTCTGAAGTACCTGTGTAGGACACTTCCATGGTCATTTGATGACAAAGTAAAACATGTAAATATGTAATAGATATAAAATGAACTGATGATGATTACAAAGATGAATATAATATATGTACGATATAATTGTATATAATATTTTATTTATACACAAAATGTATATACCTACTTTGTATACATATGTTACTTATATTGTATACATGTGTATATACAAAATATATATACTTTGAATGGAAAATTACTAAATATATATTGCTAAGCAATACAAATGTGAACCATGATTGGACAAAACAAAAATTGTAAAATTTGTAATTATACATAATCTACTATTGGATGGGAGGGTACAATATGACTATTTTGGACGGAACTTAAAATGAATTTCATGCATAAGGGTTTTTTCCCATAAAGGAAGAAAATGAGATAATTTAAAATAATTTGACAAAAACGTTATGAGTTTGAGGTATATAGAAGTACTGGTACTGATGTTAGACTCTGAAGGACATGAAAGGTCTTATATTTTTTGTGTGTTCCAGGAACTTATAAAAGCTGATAGAGGAAACAAGATTCCACAGAACTGACTTCACACAAATCTACTACTCTGACGATATTATCTAGGAACAAAGCTTCTTTTTAAATCAATGATTTCTATAGTAGCACCAGGAAAATACAGTCTAACTTCCATAAATCAAGCTTTGAAGGGTCTAATTAATTGATGTATTGAACTTATAGCAAAGTCCAGATTTCCCCCTATATATAACACTACTAATAAATCTATTCATGAATCAAACTTTTACTAGTCAAATCTTGCTGTTTCGAAGTATAATCACTTGTTATGAAATCATTAAAAAATGTACATGTACCAGAATGTTGAAATACTGTGCATATAAACATACAAGTCTTATTTCAGGTGTACTGTTAATTTAATATTTATATATTTCAAATTAAATTTCTTAACCTGTGTTTAGTCACACAATTTAAGAATCACACTATGTCTTATGTACAGAATGTCGATGTTCAATGTTTAACATTCGTGAGCTGATGTTTCAAATTTTCCGCGAGGGTCCTGCAGAGTTCGAAACATTAAAGGTTGACTGTATATAATTTATAATTTTAGATTTTCTTTTAGAAATCAAAATGTCTTGATAAAAATGCAAGATTCTTATATATACAAATGTACATATTTTAATGAAAAGTTTAACGAATGTCAATATACATATTTCTAATGCCCTACATACTACAGGTCCTGACTGTAAGTATTAACTGTTCCCTGCACGTTTTTCAAAAGCTTTTATTGAGTCTTTCACAGAGCATCTCTCCACTTCCTCTTTATTTTCAGCAGTCTCCTGCTCTTTGATTGGCTCCTTGTCAATTGGTCTTTTGTCACAAGGTGTTTTATTGGCCGAGTCTGATTGGCCACTGGTAGTCTCTTGCTCTACTTGATCCTCTGTGTTTTGAATTTCAAATTCATATTGTTCGAGCTCTTCTTTGTCTTCCGTATCCAGCTCATCCAGAAGACTTCCTGTTAGATTGACCGAACCTTTGCCTTTCCCACGTGATTTTGTTTTCCGTAAGTTACGCTGTTTTCCATGTGGTCTCTGCATTCCATGAATTGCGTCCTGCTCCGATCCTGAACTGGACTCGGTAGTAAAGCTACTACCACTGTTATCTCCCTTGAACGAGAGCCTCTCTATGGTGTTGAGACTTGACCGTAACTGCCGAAGGGCAGGACTTCCTCCTGGGCGAGATGCATCATGGGATACAACATCACGTATGCTATGTTTAATAAATGTTGGCTTCGGAGGAGGTTCAGGTTTTTTCTGTTTGACCTCGTTCTTAAGTCCTTTTGTAAACAAGCCTTTGTCCGAGTCAGAAGATTGTGACCCAGATTTATCAGTCTGACCTACTGACACACGCACTTGTTTCTCAGCAATTGCCTTACTCCCGCTCTTGTCATGATCCCTTGGTGACTCTGGGTTGGAGGAGGAGCTGGTTTGAGGGTCAATGTCACAACTTTCATTAGAGTTTGATTCATCAGGAGGGGCATAAGAAAAGACACTTTTCTTCTGGTTGTCCGAACCACCATCTTTAACCACACCTGTAATAAAATTAAACAATACATGTAAATGTGTAATATATTATCTCGTTTTGAAAGAAAGATATATAATTTTTTGGTATGTTTGTTAAGAGAGGAAGAAAAAGAGGAAGAATATCCCAATATTCATGTTTATGAGAATTAAGCCTTTTTGAGCATTTTTAACTAAAATTATTTATGGTAATATACAACTTAGACTGTCTAATACTTACATACCTTGATTGAATGCTATTCATTTGAAAAGTCTTAATTAAGCATGGCATATAAATGAAAGAAATCTTTTCTTGAAAGACTGTTCCTGGAATGCTAAACAAATTATTTTATGCCTTTAGTACTTATGAAAAAAAATTCTTAAGTTTTGTTGACTTGCTTTAAACATTTTTCCTTCTATTGAAATAATATCAACTGACCTTTGACCCCATCAACTTCAACCTTCTTGCCTTGTGAACTGCCTGCCTTGACCTTTGAACTTGTGGGCTGGTCAGTATCTTGTCTCTGAATCTGAAGCTGGCGGAAAATCTCCATTTCCAGGTGTGACCTACAAAGAAACGCAGACCAGTTCTATATAAAAAGGACTACAGGAATGTATTTGTGACTTGCAGAGAAACCCAGACCAGTTCTATATAAATAGGATAACAGGAATATAACTGTGACCTGCAATAAACACAGATTAGTTCTATATAAATAGGATAACAGGAATATAACTGTGACCTGCAATAAACCCAGACCAGTTCTATATAAATAGGATAACAGGAATATAACTGTGACCTGCAATAAACACAGACCAGTTCTATATAAATAGGATAACAGGAATATACCTGTGACCTGCAATAAACACAGACCAGTTCTATATAAATAGGATAACAGGAATATACCTGTGACCTGCAATAAACACAGACCAGTTCTATATAAATAGGATAACAGGAATATACCTGTGACCTGCAATAAACACAGACCAGTTCTATATAAATAGGATAACAGGAATATACCTGTGACCTGCAATAAACACAGACCAGTTCTATATAAATAGGATAACAGGAATATACCTGTGACCTGCAATAAACACAGACCAGTTCTATATAAATAGGATAACAGGAATATACCTGTGACCTGCAATAAACACAGACCAGTTCTATATAAATAGGATAACAGGAATATACCTGTGACCTGCAATAAACACAGACCAGTTCTATATAAATAGGATAACAGGAATATACCTGTGACCTGCAATAAACACAGACCAGTTCTATATAAATAGGATAACAGGAATATACCTGTGACCTGCAATAAACACAGACCAGTTCTATATAAATAGGATAACAGGAATATACCTGTGACCTGCAATAAACACAGACCAGTTCTATATAAATAGGATAACAGGAATATACCTGTGACCTGCAATAAACACAGACCAGTTCTATATAAATAGGATAACAGGAATATACCTGTGACCTGCAATAAACACAGACCAGTTCTATATAAATAGGATAACAGGAATATACCTGTGACCTGCAATAAACACAGACCAGTTCTATATAAATAGGATAACAGGAATATACCTGTGACCTGCAATAAACACAGACCAGTTCTATATAAATAGGATAACAGGAATATACCTGTGACCTGCAATAAACACAGACCAGTTCTATATAAATAGGATAACAGGAATATACCTGTGACCTGCAATAAACACAGACCAGTTCTATATAAATAGGATAACAGGAATATACCTGTGACCTGCAATAAACACAGACCAGTTCTATATAAATAGGATAACAGGAATATACCTGTGACCTGCAATAAACACAGACCAGTTCTATATAAATAGGATAACAGGAATATACCTGTGACCTGCAATAAACACAGACCAGTTCTATATAAATAGGATAACAGGAATATACCTGTGACCTGCAATAAACACAGACCAGTTCTATATAAATAGGATAACAGGAATATACCTGTGACCTGCAATAAACACAGACCAGTTCTATATAAATAGGATAACAGGAATATACCTGTGACCTGCAATAAACACAGACCAGTTCTATATAAATAGGATAACAGGAATATACCTGTGACCTGCAATAAACACAGACCAGTTCTATATAAATAGGATAACAGGAATATACCTGTGACCTGCAATAAACACAGACCAGTTCTATATAAATAGGATAACAGGAATATACCTGTGACCTGCAATAAACACAGACCAGTTCTATATAAATAGGATAACAGGAATATACCTGTGACCTGCAATAAACACAGACCAGTTCTATATAAATAGGATAACAGGAATATACCTGTGACCTGCAATAAACACAGACCAGTTCTATATAAATAGGATAACAGGAATATACCTGTGACCTGCAATAAACACAGACCAGTTCTATATAAATAGGATAACAGGAATATACCTGTGACCTGCAATAAACACAGACCAGTTCTATATAAATAGGATAACAGGAATATACCTGTGACCTGCAATAAACACAGACCAGTTCTATATAAATAGGATAACAGGAATATACCTGTGACCTGCAATAAACACAGACCAGTTCTATATAAATAGGATAACAGGAATATACCTGTGACCTGCAATAAACACAGACCAGTTCTATATAAATAGGATAACAGGAATATACCTGTGACCTGCAATAAACACAGACCAGTTCTATATAAATAGGATAACAGGAATATACCTGTGACCTGCAATAAACACAGACCAGTTCTATATAAATAGGATAACAGGAATATACCTGTGACCTGCAATAAACACAGACCAGTTCTATATAAATAGGATAACAGGAATATAACTGTGACCTGCAATAAACACAGATCAGTTCTATATAAATAGGATAACAGGAATATACCTGTGACCTGCAATAAACACAGACCAGTTCTATATAAATAGGATAACAGGAAACATATCTGCTTAGTTTTCAAAAACTTTCATATTGAAATCATTGAGATTTTAAGACTTTATTTGCTTAGGCTACATTCGTGATCCCGGATGAAAAGGTACATGTGGCACAGACATATTGCACGATAAACGAAGGCACTTGGACCGTTCTATAAGCTGAGCTAAAAATAGTTTTTCCTTCTTTCACGCGTCCACTGAATTACATAACGTATCTTTAAAACTACATGTGGCTTGACATTGTTTTAGCAAGAAATAACGCGAACTAGCGATAGTCAGCATTTTAGTATCTGTCAGGTACGTCTGAACCCCTCAATCTAAATGTGCCGAATATTCCTGAGGTCAGCCTCAGTTTAGATCTGTGCCTGTAGTTTTCTTCCAGGTTCAACCATATACGCGAAAGTGGCCTTTAAGTTTCCTTGTTATGGTGAAATTATAAGAATGTATTTACCTAGTTTGCAAAAATTGTAAGATACATATTTGCTTAGTTTCCCAAAACAGTAAAGGTGAAATTACAGAGATATATTTGTTAAGCATCCAAAAATTATAGAAATACGATAGCTTCTTCTCTCAAAATTGTAAGGTTAAAATCATACGATTATATTTCCTTTTTCCTTATTATTGTAAAAATCAAATTATAAAACATATCAGTGGTTGTATTAATATATTTATGAAGATTATATATATAGGAATATATTTGTTCAGTTTCCCAAACTATAAAGGTGAAATTATAGCAATAGCTTTTCTGTCTAGTTTACCAAGAAACATGATAGAAATGTATTTGCTTATTTTCTAAAAGCTTTACAGGAGAGCTACAGGATTATGTTCGGCTGAAGTTTCTAAATATTATAAAGGTAAAATCATAACACCATATTTCCTTAGGTTCTCAATATTGAGGCGATATTATTGAACCCATCAGCAGTAACAGTACCCAGCATTGCAAGGTCCTGTACTCACTTGAGCTGTTTCTCTTTCTCCTGCGACAGAAGATCGGGGTCAGTGTTGTCCATCTTGAGAAGCTGGGCCAAGTAGGGTTCCTGGGAGTACAGATAGTCCTCAATCTGCTGGACGCGATGGTCAAGGCGCTCTTCTTCACCCTGCTGCATCTGTAGTTAAAGACTTACTGATTGTTACATAGAATTTAACAAACATGACTTAGATATACAATAGTCCATTAGATGCATATTGCTCAGGCCTGAACACACTAAATGAGAGGTATGGAGAAGATATATTGACAATTTTTGCCAGGGGATACATGTACAAGATAAAATTCAGGTACATGGAAGTGTGAAGTTCTTTTTACCACAGATACAATATACAATTAATCTTCTTTTCATTTGGTAGATTCATTATGTAGATAAGCAATGCATTAAGTATATAACCTTGATATAATGCCACTCAAGTTATTTGTCCCTCGCTTACTGCCAATGTATCTCAAGGTCATGTTTTCCTTATTTCTATTCTCGACAATGCTTGTGGTGTATCTTCCTCAATGTATATAATTACCCCCCTGAGGTTGATTGGTTTACAGGTTGATTGCCTACACGACTCCACCCATACAGGTTTATCTCACTGACAGAGGTCAGTGTTCTGTCAGCGTTACTACCCCCACCCCCACCCCCCACCCATCACCCTTTATATTATGATGCCAACAGTCTGCTGGACAAACAATGACAGTATAAGAAGATTTATACTATATCTTGATAACCAGGAGCCAATTAAAAGAATAATTTCCAATTCAGTGTCAGATTTAACTGACCTCTGAACCCCCACTAGATATGCCGTCGTCTCCAACTCCGTAGGTTCCATCAGAGTCTGTCAGATACCCAGTAGGTTTCTCCGGAAGACTGTGCAATCCTGACAGTGCATTTATTCGGAAATACAATTCATCCACCTGATATTCAATCTCCACCATGGTGAACTCCTGCAAACAAGAAACGTATATATGTTAGAGTGGCATACACACATTGTGTTTCATTTCCAGACATCCTCTATAGTTCCAGTACAGGATTTGTCTGCCATGGTTTTGAGGTAAATATTTGATTTACAGGTTTGTATTTAGCATAGAAATTAGTCCACAGATGATTTTAATGTAAAATAATACTTAAGACTTTAAATAAATTTTCCTTACATACTTTTTAAACCAGAATTAAGCAAGCATTAGTTCTTGAAACATATTAAACAGTGATGAAAATTAAATGCATTTTCTTACCATTAAAATAGGTGTGTTTGCTTAAAAGGATAAATTTTTGTTTCAATAATTTGGAATTGAATTTTGACATAAACATTTCTCTTTGAGAAATTCAGATAACTCACTAAGCATGTAAATGGTTATAATTATAATAATAATTTGAGGTTCTTATATACAGCTTTATCATAACCTATAGATCATAGGTCATCTCGAAGCGGTTCGCAAATTATTATCTGTGGTTATTGGGCCTTTGCAACCAGCCAATACCTTTCTCAACTCCCGGGGGAGCATACAGCCGGGGCTGCCATTTCGGTGCTCACAGCTAGCATTCTACAATTCTAGCACTGCCCAACCATGTACTCATTTACAGCTGAATACACTGGTACAAGTGGAGTAAAGTATCTTGTTCAAAGATACAACACAGTGCCATGACGTGACTCAAACCAGTAACCCTCCGGTCACGAGCCGTCCTACCACTAGACTACCGTACTTCCTTGGTCAACTTACTGCTGGCAGTTCATTTTCTGGTTCATGTACTGGCGGTTCATAGCGTATCCCTGTCCACATCAGGAACTGCTTCCAAAAAAACAGCAGCGCATCACGTCCGCTCATTGCCAGAATGTCACTCTGTTTTCTGCGGTAAACTCTAAATCGGAATGACAGGAAAGCTATCACCTATGCAAACAGAAAATGGGGAAAAATGAAATCCAAGATCATTATCTAATGAATAATCTTACAACTTTTTCATCTTTTAGTAAAAAACACATTTTACATCACCGCTATTTGAAGTTGGGACCACAACGGTCAATTACATACATGTATGTGTCGCAGTGTATTAATTGGAGAGTATGATATGAAACAGTTACTCGATGATTTCCTTGGTCAAAAAGAAACTTTGTGTTTGCAGCCTCTGATAATCTTGTAGGAATAATAATCAACAGGAAAAAACCCCATTAATACTTGGGAACTCTCCCTATTTGGCGGTACATTCATGATTTCGGACCTTAAAATTCAGCATTTTCAACGAGTGAATTTGCTAAACTATTTCTTTTTTCTAATATCTGATGATTTCACCCGATAGACAGCTCAAAAAATGTCATTTTAATGGATTATTTTGTCTCTAGGGGTTAACACACATTTTGTTTATGTTCGAGCTTGTAAAATCTCCCCCATGGAAATTTCAATTAGTTGGCAAGTATGAACATTGAAAGAATCACTACTGCATGATATCTATCACTCTAGACTTTGTTTCTGGAAACAAATTAAAAGACTGCCCTGAATAACAGCTCTGTTTTCTGAATTGAAGTGTCGAGTCGCTAGACTGGTTGTATTCTACAATTTACGACAGTAGGACCACAAATGTTATACTTACATAAGAGGTGAGCAACCCTGTGAAGAACACGCAAAAACAGAAAACAAAGACACGCAGGAAGTAGGTCATTGTATGTTCTTTGCCAGGATGTTGATAGTGGCCGGTCATCAGGGACATCAACGTGAACAATGTGGTCCAGTAGTCGTGGAATGACCAACAAAAGGAGCCAAACAGGAGGAGTCCAAGACTGGAGAAGGCCAAGAGTAATCCACAGAATAGAGCCTGATGGAAGAACAAGGAAATCGTTTTGTGTTTTGTATTGACAAATTATGAAAATATCAAACAGTATACAGTATTTCATAGCATAACTAGATAAATCCTCAATGCAACATTTATATACTGTTAAAGTGGACATTTTTGCGATGTGGAAAGGTTTGTGTTTTTCAAGTCGAGTAAATTGATGTGAAACTAGAGAAATCATGAGTGAGCTCACAGAGATACAATAATGTATACCCCTCACTTGCGCTTACTGGGTACTTAATAATTTCAAGGGCCATAACTCAAGGAAGAATTGTCAACATGCCAATTCCTTACTTCATGCACATCCACATATGATGTTCATTTGCTGTGTTAAATTACAAAAAAATGCAACACACAGTTTAGGAGGAGTTGCACTTACAAAGATCATGGACGGACTGATGGACAGACTGATGGACGGACAGATAGCGCGATTCCTATAAACCATCCCCCCAAAAAACAAATTGTTTGGGGAATAAATATCCACATGTGAATATTTATTTATAGATGAAAGACAGATAAAATATTGTTTGTACTTAGATTTCAGAGATATTGCTTAAATTAAAATTTTCACAATGCGATCGGTTTAAAAGGATACAAGGCAAACATTCAAATGCAAAAAATGTCCACTTTTACAATACATTATATAGCAAAAAATGAATGCTTAATTTACAATCATGCACTCAATGTGTTACTTAAATATAGTTTTCTATCAACCTTAACTGAACAAAATATGACAGTTAACAACAAAAATATGTTACTGAACCTGTTTGAAACAGGGTTTTTGAAATGTCCGGTTTACTTACAGTGAATATAATGAACTCTTTATGCACTCGTTTGCAGACATTGCCAAATAGGGCGAAGAGCCTGTTGTATCTTAGCAACCTCAGTGATTTGATGAAAACTAGGAACAAAATGACTCCAACTTGAACTTGAAGAATCTAAAAGAAATAAATGACATTTTAATCTTAATATTCTGTGAATGATTGTGAACCTATAACTGCTCTAGTAATTCTGTGTCAAGTAAGGCATTTGTCATCGACGCTTTAGCTAACGAATATAGGAATGACCATGGCACCGCTGGTTCTAACACTAATCAAAATGGACTCTGTAAGCTAACAAAACCAATGCAAGAGATTGTTCAGTTTGTTCACAGAGAGCACTGGGGCGTTTTCAAGTAAACAAGTTAAGGATAAAGTGAAACAGTTTAATTCAACTTGCTACTAGCTATTTTGGAAAAGTTTAGATAGTTAAGAGATGTCATTGGGATAATAAACTGTAAACTAAAACAACTTTGATAATACATATGAAACTGACACATTCATATGCTCTATGAATTTCACACTATAGATGTATTTGTGAATTATTGTTTTGTTAAACATTATTATGCTCCAATGAAATTCAGTATGTAAGAATTCTTCTCTAGAAATTTAAGATGACATGACTTATATACCTACCTCATCCCATACAGCAAGAAAGGACACATCTACAAACTGTTCAAAGTAGGTACTCCGCATGTTCTCCAGGGCTTCCCAAACCAGCATAAACCGGTACAGGTAACACCCAATGTAGGTCAGAGACAGAGCCACCATCAAACACTGAAAACATAAGATAGCTCAATGTAGGTCAGAGACAGAGCCATCATCAAACACTGAAAACATAAGATAGCTCAATGTAGGTCAGAGACAGAGCCACCATCAAACACTAAAAACATGAGATATCTAAATGTGGGTCAGAGACAGAGCCACCATCAAACACTAAAAACATGAGATATCTCAATGTAGGTCAGAGACAGAGCCACCATCAAACACTAAAAACATAAGATAGCTCAATGTAAGTCAGAGACAGAGCCACCATCAAACACTGAAAACATAAGATAGCTCAATGTGGGTCAGAGACAGAGCCACCATCAAACACTGAAAACATAAGATAGCTCAATGTGGGTCAGAGACAGAGCCACCATCAAACACTGAAAACATAAGATAGCTCAATGTGGGTCAGAGACAGAGCCACCATCAAACACTGAAAACATAAGATAGCTCAATGTGGGTCAGAGACAGAGCCACCATCAAACACTGAAAACATAAGATAGCTCAATGTGGGTCAGAGACAGAGCCACCATCAAACACTGAAAACATAAGATAGCTCAATGTGGGTCAGAGACAGAGCCACCATCAAACACTGAAAACATAAGATAGCTCAATGTGGGTCAGAGACAGAGCCACCATCAAACACTGAAAACATAAGATAGCTCAATGTGGGTCAGAGACAGAGCCACCATCAAACACTGAAAACATAAGATAGCTCAATGTGGGTCAGAGACAGAGCCACCATCAAACACTGAAAACATAAGATAGCTCAATGTGGGTCAGAGACAGAGCCACCATCAAACACTGAAAACATAAGATAGCTCAATGTGGGTCAGAGACAGAGCCACCATCAAACACTGAAAACATAAGATAGCTCAATGTGGGTCAGAGACAGAGCCACCATCAAACACTGAAAACATAAGATAGCTCAATGTGGGTCAGAGACAGAGCCACCATCAAACACTGAAAACATAAGATAGCTCAATGTGGGTCAGAGACAGAGCCACCATCAAACACTGAAAACATAAGATAGCTCAATGTGGGTCAGAGACAGAGCCACCATCAAACACTGAAAACATAAGATAGCTCAATGTGGGTCAGAGACAGAGCCACCATCAAACACTGAAAACATAAGATAGCTCAATGTGGGTCAGAGACAGAGCCACCATCAAACACTGAAAACATAAGATAGCTCAATGTGGGTCAGAGACAGAGCCACCATCAAACACTGAAAACATAAGATAGCTCAATGTGGGTCAGAGACAGAGCCACCATCAAACACTGAAAACATAAGATAGCTCAATGTGGGTCAGAGACAGAGCCACCATCAAACACTGAAAACATAAGATAGCTCAATGTGGGTCAGAGACAGAGCCACCATCAAACACTGAAAACATAAGATAGCTCAATGTGGGTCAGAGACAGAGCCACCATCAAACACTGAAAACATAAGATAGCTCAATGTGGGTCAGAGACAGAGCCACCATCAAACACTGAAAACATAAGATAGCTCAATGTGGGTCAGAGACAGAGCCACCATCAAACACTGAAAACATAAGATAGCTCAATGTGGGTCAGAGACAGAGCCACCATCAAACACTGAAAACATAAGATAGCTCAATGTGGGTCAGAGACAGAGCCACCATCAAACACTGAAAACATAAGATAGCTCAATGTGGGTCAGAGACAGAGCCACCATCAAACACTGAAAACATAAGATAGCTCAATGTGGGTCAGAGACAGAGCCACCATCAAACACTGAAAACATAAGATAGCTCAATGTGGGTCAGAGACAGAGCCACCATCAAACACTGAAAACATAAGATAGCTCAATGTGGGTCAGAGACAGAGCCACCATCAAACACTGAAAACATAAGATAGCTCAATGTGGGTCAGAGACAGAGCCACCATCAAACACTGAAAACATAAGATAGCTCAATGTGGGTCAGAGACAGAGCCACCATCAAACACTGAAAACATAAGATAGCTCAATGTGGGTCAGAGACAGAGCCACCATCAAACACTGAAAACATAAGATAGCTCAATGTGGGTCAGAGACAGAGCCACCATCAAACACTGAAAACATAAGATAGCTCAATGTGGGTCAGAGACAGAGCCACCATCAAACACTGAAAACATAAGATAGCTCAATGTGGGTCAGAGACAGAGCCACCATCAAACACTGAAAACATAAGATAGCTCAATGTGGGTCAGAGACAGAGCCACCATCAAACACTGAAAACATAAGATAGCTCAATGTGGGTCAGAGACAGAGCCACCATCAAACACTGAAAACATAAGATAGCTCAATGTGGGTCAGAGACAGAGCCACCATCAAACACTGAAAACATAAGATAGCTCAATGTGGGTCAGAGACAGAGCCACCATCAAACACTGAAAACATAAGATAGCTCAATGTGGGTCAGAGACAGAGCCACCATCAAACACTGAAAACATAAGATAGCTCAATGTGGGTCAGAGACAGAGCCACCATCAAACACTGAAAACATAAGATAGCTCAATGTGGGTCAGAGACAGAGCCACCATCAAACACTGAAAACATAAGATAGCTCAATGTGGGTCAGAGACAGAGCCACCATCAAACACTGAAAACATAAGATAGCTCAATGTGGGTCAGAGACAGAGCCACCATCAAACACTGAAAACATAAGATAGCTCAATGTGGGTCAGAGACAGAGCCACCATCAAACACTGAAAACATAAGATAGCTCAATGTGGGTCAGAGACAGAGCCACCATCAAACACTGAAAACATAAGATAGCTCAATGTGGGTCAGAGACAGAGCCACCATCAAACACTGAAAACATAAGATAGCTCAATGTGGGTCAGAGACAGAGCCACCATCAAACACTGAAAACATAAGATAGCTCAATGTGGGTCAGAGACAGAGCCACCATCAAACACTGAAAACATAAGATAGCTCAATGTGGGTCAGAGACAGAGCCACCATCAAACACTGAAAACATAAGATAGCTCAATGTGGGTCAGAGACAGAGCCACCATCAAACACTGAAAACATAAGATAGCTCAATGTGGGTCAGAGACAGAGCCACCATCAAACACTGAAAACATAAGATAGCTCAATGTGGGTCAGAGACAGAGCCACCATCAAACACTGAAAACATAAGATAGCTCAATGTGGGTCAGAGACAGAGCCACCATCAAACACTGAAAACATAAGATAGCTCAATGTGGGTCAGAGACAGAGCCACCATCAAACACTGAAAACATAAGATAGCTCAATGTGGGTCAGAGACAGAGCCACCATCAAACACTGAAAACATAAGATAGCTCAATGTGGGTCAGAGACAGAGCCACCATCAAACACTGAAAACATAAGATAGCTCAATGTGGGTCAGAGACAGAGCCACCATCAAACACTGAAAACATAAGATAGCTCAATGTGGGTCAGAGACAGAGCCACCATCAAACACTGAAAACATAAGATAGCTCAATGTGGGTCAGAGACAGAGCCACCATCAAACACTGAAAACATAAGATAGCTCAATGTGGGTCAGAGACAGAGCCACCATCAAACACTGAAAACATAAGATAGCTCAATGTGGGTCAGAGACAGAGCCACCATCAAACACTGAAAACATAAGATAGCTCAATGTGGGTCAGAGACAGAGCCACCATCAAACACTGAAAACATAAGATAGCTCAATGTGGGTCAGAGACAGAGCCACCATCAAACACTGAAAACATAAGATAGCTCAATGTGGGTCAGAGACAGAGCCACCATCAAACACTGAAAACATAAGATAGCTCAATGTGGGTCAGAGACAGAGCCACCATCAAACACTGAAAACATAAGATAGCTCAATGTGGGTCAGAGACAGAGCCACCATCAAACACTGAAAACATAAGATAGCTCAATGTGGGTCAGAGACAGAGCCACCATCAAACACTGAAAACATAAGATAGCTCAATGTGGGTCAGAGACAGAGCCACCATCAAACACTGAAAACATAAGATAGCTCAATGTGGGTCAGAGACAGAGCCACCATCAAACACTGAAAACATAAGATAGCTCAATGTGGGTCAGAGACAGAGCCACCGTCAAACACTGAAAACATAAGATAGCTCAATGTGGGTCAGAGACAGAGCCACCATCAAACACTGAAAACATAAGATAGCTCAATGTGGGTCAGAGACAGAGCCACCATCAAACACTGAAAACATAAGATAGCTCAATGTGGGTCAGAGACAGAGCCACCATCAAACACTGAAAACATAAGATAGCTCAATGTGGGTCAGAGACAGAGCCACCATCAAACACTGAAAACATAAGATAGCTCAATGTGGGTCAGAGACAGAGCCACCATCAAACACTGAAAACATAAGATAGCTCAATGTGGGTCAGAGACAGAGCCACCATCAAACACTGAAAACATAAGATAGCTCAATGTGGGTCAGAGACAGAGCCACCATCAAACACTGAAAACATAAGATAGCTCAATGTGGGTCAGAGACAGAGCCACCATCAAACACTGAAAACATAAGATAGCTCAATGTGGGTCAGAGACAAGGCCACTGTCAAACACTGAAAACATGAGATATCTCAATGTAAGTCAGAGACAGAGTCACCATCAAACACTGAAACATAAGATAGCTCAATGTGGGTCAGAGACAAGGCCACTGTCAAACCCTGAAAACATGAGATAGCTCAATGTAAGTCAGAGACAGAGCCACTGTCAAACACTGAAAACATGAGATAGCTCAATGTGGGTCAGAGACAGAGCCACCATCAAACACTGAAAACATGAGATAGCTCAATGTTAGTCAGACACCTCAGTTCTTAAGGAGATACACAATAATATGCATCATATCACCAGAAAACACAAGAAAAAAACAAAAGAAATTTTACAATTTCATACTTGTTATCTTAAAAGTGGACTAAAATACAGCTACAGGCAGAATATCAGTGTTTGATTCATAAGAACCTATTAAAAGATTTAAACATATGACGCCGGTGACCTTGAATATCGAACAAGGACATCAGGTTGAAAGTGGATCAAGGTCATTCATTTGAACAAACTTAGTAGCCCTTCATCCCAGCATGCTACAGGCCTAATATCAGTACCCTAGGCCTTTCGGTTATTGAGAAGAAGTTGTTTTAAGATTTTAAGACATCTGACCTCAGTGACCTTGAAAGTGTGTCATGGTCATTCATTTGAACAAACGTGGTAGCCCTTCATCCCAGCTTGCTACAGGCCCAATATCAGTAACCTGGGCCTTTTGGTTATTGAGAAAAAGTTGTTTAAAATAAAAAGTTGATGCCGGACAGACAGACGCCGGACGGACGGACGGACGCCGGACGCCGCACCATGGCATAAGCTCACTTGCCCTTCGGGCAGGTGAGCTAAAAAATATTATATATTCTTTTTATTAAAATATCTGGTATAATCTCTAACTGATTGTCTTGGGTTGTCTTGAAAAACATTGATTATAGTCTACACTTTTTACACATTTAAAAATGGCAAGGTCCCAAATTAAATAACACAAATTATTCCATAAATTATTTTACGCATTTGTGTAACAACTATATAATGGATAATTTTTGTACAAAATTAATACAAATTTTACATGTTTGCAGAACTGATGCATAAAATGCAGGTAATGGCAGATATGACCCACTTGTATATTTTCATATTCCCTGAAGCAAATTGTTGAATGGGAAGTGACAATAATATTCAGATTATACTAAAATTTCTGATATTAAACTCACCTGTACGATGTTCCAAGCACTGTGAAGATAGTTCCTTTTCAGTTTTATCCAGTTACATACCTCATTCTTCATTTTGTACAATGTCAGGATCACAAAAAACAACTGGAAAAAAGACAAAGTAATCTTAATCTTAAACAAATAACCAAAGAATGAGGGAAAAAAACACAAAGAAAACCAAAAAATAAGTCCCTTGTTTAAATATATATGAACGTATTTGAATAATTGTTGTCCGTATATTGGAATTCATGATTGACATTTCTCTCATATTAATGCAAAAAGATGTATTTCACAAATCGATCAGAAACAAAATTCATACGAGGGCTTGTACAAAGTGTTACCCTGGGAACATTAATGCTCAAGGCTCCAATACAAATGTTATTTGGGAATCTTTTATTTTTTATTTTTATTTTTTTATTATTTTTTAAATATACATTATAAACAGTACCGGATATATATATATATGTGATTCATAAAAGTTTATTATGTCAAAAATTCCAAATTTTACAGTATTTGTTTTTGTTGTTGAAATATGTACCAATTTGAGTACCATATAGTTAAGTATAATGTTAACTCAAGTTTGTCAGGACCATGAGCTGATCATTCCTACACCCGAGTTTCAGTTAAATCTGCCTATTAGAACTTGTTTTTAAGTTTGAAATAGTTTTTTCAAAATGGCAGACATGGCGGCCATATTGGATATCTGAATGACCAGAAAAATAACAACACTTATTGAGGACCATGAGTTGATCATTCCTACAAAGTTTCAGTTCAATCGGCCCAGTAGAACTTGACTTTAAGTTTGAAATAGTTTTTCAAAATGGCGGCTATGGCGGCCATATTGGAGTTCTGATCGACCCGACAAAAAAAACCAACACTCTTTGTCAGGACCATGAGTTGATCATTCCAACAAAGTTTCAGTTCAATCGGCCCAGTAGAACTTGACTTTAAGTTTGAAATAGTTTTTCAAAATGGCGGCTATGGCGGCCATATTGGATTTCTGATCGACCCGACAAAAAAAACCAACACACTTTGTCAGGACCATGAGTTGATCATTCCAACAAAGTTTCAGTTCAATCGGCCCAGTAGAACTTGACTTTAAGTTTGAAACAGTTTTTCAAAATGGCGGCCGTGTCGGCCATATTGGATTTCTGATCGACCCGAAAAATAACAACACTTTGTCAGGACCATGAGTTGATCATTCCTACAAAGTTTCCATTCAATTGGCCCAGTAGAACTTGACTTTAAGTTTGAAATAGTTTTTCATAATGGCGGCCGTGTCGGCCAAATTGGATTTCTGATCGAAAGGAAAAATAACAACACTGTGTCAGGACCATGGGTCGTTCATTCCTACAAAGTTTCAGTTCAATCGGCCCAGTAGAACTTGACTTTAACTTTGAAAAAGTTTTTCAAAATGGCGGCCCTGTCGGCCATATTGGATTTCTGATCGACCCGAAAAATAACAACAATTTGTCGGGACCATGAGTCGATCAATCCTACAAAGTTTCAGTTCAATTGGCCGAGTAGAACTTGACTTTAATTTTGAAAAAGTTTTTCAAAATGGCGGCCGTGGCGGCCATATTGGATTTCTCATCGACCCGAAAAAAAATAACAACACTTTGTCAGGATTATGGGTCGATCATTCCTACAAAGTTTCAGTTCAATTGGCCCAGCAGAACTTGACTTTAAGTTTGAAATAGTTTTTCAAAATGGCGGCCTTGTCGGCCATATTGGATTTCTGATCGACCCGAAAAATAATAACACTTTGTCAGGACCATGAGTCGAACATTCCTACCAGGTTTCAGTTCAATCGACCCAGCAGAACTTGACTTTAAGTTTGAAATAGTTTTTCAAAATGGCGGCCGTGTCGGCCATATTGGATTTCTGATCGACCCGAAAAATAACAACACTTGGTCAGGGAGATGTCAGTAATCTTCCCATGAAATATTAATGAAATCCCTTTGCCAGTATTTCAGCTTAAGTTGAAAATGTAAAATGTTAACAGACGACGACGACGGACGAAGACGGACGAAGACGGATAGCAATAGGTCGCTTGAGCTAAAGCTCAGGTGACCTTAAAAATTATACAATCCAATTGATGAATTGTATAGATTATAGCTGACAATGAGAACACTCATACCAGTTATTGGACAGTACTACCTTCTACACTAACGAAGTAAATCATTACGATTCATATTTATTTATATAGTTTCTAATGCAATGATCAGTTGATACCTTACCTCACAAGCCAACACAAAGTTATCGGTTGGGGTCATGTAACGGTACAGATAAGTCGATATAACCCGATGGTCCATAAAAGCGCCCCCTGTTGGTGGAAGTTCCATAACCAATGCAACGGACGAGAAGAGATTTGTCGGAGCATTAAATAAGGTGAGTTCGACGACCACTGCCCGGGTGTGCTTGTTTATCCAGCCTTGGTACTCCAGCTGCTGTAGCTGAGACAGGGCTTTGGATCTGAAAAGAAAGAAATTGTAATACAGTAATTCTTGTACAGTGTATTCTGTTTTTGAAATTTATCATTTTTAACTTTACTATCCACGCACAATACTTAATTTTTACTTAATGAAATGAAGCATTCCGGTGACATTTAATGTACTTCTCATTCTCTTTAGAAGAACGTACGGTAAAGCAAAACATCTCATTAACAGATGGTTTTGGGTTTTTTCTACCATTTTCAGTGGTTGAAACCCAGAAGACTGAAGTTAGTACATTTAAATGTTCAACTGATGTGATTTTACGAAGATATTTTGTATCTGATTTTTACTTTTTTAATTTACACTGAGAAACTGTATACCAGGAATGTTTTGCCCTTTGATGTTAAATTCCATTTTCGCCCAATATTTGATTCCCCATTTACATTTAAATTACTATGTATATCATGCTGTTTATAAATGTTCGTAGTAATGATAAATTTGCACCACAAAAAGGCGAAAATTAAACTGCAGCAAATATTTCCCAGTAAACAGTTATCCCCTTTTATGTACAGATCTATAGATATAACGGGAGGAACAACCGATGAATACCAATAGTGTCTTACGAAAACATACCGCAGAAATGTTGTTACCTTGAGTTATCTAACTTAATGACAAAGCCAGAGTTATCGTATACGCCGTGCTTTCCAAAAATATTAAAGAAGGCTGTGTTTTCTGTCCACGTCTCATTCATGTCCGGTGAAACGTCTTTCATCTTGTTGGTGTAGCTGTAGTCATGGAGACAATACTCGGGCAGATGTGGTAACTTTTGTACACACGGCTCCTTAACCACTCTCATCTGACGCAGGTGGATCTGACCAATCACAAAACTGCTTCCATGGAGGGCAAATTTCTGCTGAAAATTGTTTTGGAATATTTCAAAAAACACCTAAAGAATATATATATTCAACATTTATACATACACTGTACTGTACCACCACTAATATATATTTACTATTCATCCATGTGACATGTCCCTGTGCCAAAAATACAAGATAATGAGAGTTATTTATCTGATACATAAATATCTCCTTTATTTGCACTTGGAAATGAAAGTCAGGAAACCTGAAAACACCTTGCATATGAAGCATAAATTTGAGATATCAGTTTTATAAAAACACAAACATGTCTTCCTTTATCTTGAAAATTGTTGTACAAATTTAGCTATATTTCAGCTGTTACCTGTATGACCTTGGAATTGTTTTCCTGTTGACCTTGGTCAGTGTATAGAGTGTTTAGCATGGTGGTCTGACTCCAGGTATACCAGTCCCCTGGTTGAGAAATGTCGGCAAACTTCACCACCCCAGAACTGGTAATAAAGGAAGACAACTAAGGTTGTCACTTTGTGGGAATTTCATTGATATGGTTAAATAAATTCAAAATACAATGAAACCAACTTTCACTACACCAGTAAGTTTAAGCAGATTATTTTGGCTTTTTAATTGACAAACATTTTCTTAATCATTGAGGTTTTATTTTCAAGTCATGAATTTTTAAAAAAATGATAAACCACACACTTACCTGATCAATGTATTTTTGATGGCTTCATTGAGGTAGAAAGGGGAGGTAACAATGTCCTTCCCATAGGCCATCACACATACAAGGGTTAACATCACAAAGAAACCCACAGAATTACTGCAAAGACATGAGATATATGAACATTTTAAAATGATGTCTATGAAAATGAAACTGTATATGAAATGTTATATACAGTAAAATTACATTCAAGCTTAGCTTTTAATTAACCAAATCTATCAACAGTATTTTTTTCACACCTGACAAGAGACATGGCTTTCTTCTCCTTCAGAATCTTCTTTCTTGCCTCAATCAATTGTTTCTCCTGTGGCGGTCTGGCAAATCTCAGGTACCGCGACCTCTGTCTAGCAGCCACACCCTTATAGGAACAAACAAATAAAGTTCACGTTGGTCAAATAAGTTGTATATCATCAATGAAACTGGTTTCGGTATTTGTTTTCCAATTTATTTACTGCTTTCTGCTACTTTTCTTACCACATACATGTATATGTATTATATTCATGAAACAAAACAATAGTACAATTTCCTGTGATGGAATATATCAACTTATACACATATCTCACAATACCAATAAAGTTAACTCATTCACCCCTTAAGACACATTTGAACTCTTCCAATTCAAAGGTTGGAATAGTCCATTATGAAAGTTGAGGGGTGGATGAGTTAAAAGTTTCACAAAATTTGAAAGTATTGTTAACATTTTTGAAATCCTAGTGCTTCAGCCTGTTACATATTATATACCTTAAATATTCATGTATGGTACGCACTCGTGTATAACATGCACTATACCTTCGCACCCCTTTCTTGATATTATCACTTTCCCCTAAAAAGTGTGTACTATGTGCGTAAATTTATGGAACTTTTGTAGAGTCACTGATCACAATATTTACATCTTTTGATTTGTGTAGAATTTATTTATTTCTTAACATATAGAAGTATCAACAATATATCTTTGATGTATAACACTTTCACTCCTATGTTAATAATCTTTAGTAGACTCTACCATGCATTGATCTGGATGAGTCCATTATGGTCTACAGTGGTGAAAGGGTTTAACTTTTAATTATTTATATTCTATAAATTACAAGAAACAAATTACATGTTTCTGGCACAAACTTGATAGAAACTTTCTAGCCTAATCTAAGACTAACCCTCTCTATCTCCTTATTTTCATCCAGTATTTCCTTGGCCTTCTCCTTCTTCCTCCTTAAGATCTCCAGCTTAGCCTGCTCCCCAAAGTAGCCGTCCTCGCAATGGTCAAGGATGGACGGATTGTTCCTGTATTTTATTGCCGTGTAAACTACTGCTATACAGATCTGTGGACAGAAATTGTCAAGGCTGAATGTCTTGTCAACAACAATCCCCTCCAAGTTTTTTCATTTTGTTTGATAATTTGTTCTCAGATACAGCAAATTTCAGGCCATGCAATTTTTCCGAAAGTAAAATATTTACACAAGATATACAAATAAGCTTACAATGTCATTCCAATACAAATCATCAAACTGACAATGTGAAGAAATCTACATGTCACAGGAAACAACAAATGTGTTTGTGTTTTCGGTCAAAACAGGATTTTTTAGATCTCAATTAAAACAGCTTCAATTCTGAATTTTAATATCTTTTTGAAAATATATAGAATAAAAACTTATCAATTTTTCCTTAAACTAACAAAGTTTTCCAGCGGAGCAGGGACACACAACATTATCTAGATTATAGATGGTATATTCAAGCATGGTGCTGACATGTTTCGGCGTGTTGTCCCCACTCTGTTGGAATTCCTTGATAAGCTATAAGCCAGGAATCCGTATAAAACATGTAATCAGCAGTAATCATCCAAATTGCACCGGTATTTCAACTTATAAAGGATGTTGTGTCTCCAAAACTATTGATTGAAGTTTTTGAAAAGTTGACAGGGGTGAATTTCCTGTGTCGTTTATTCACAGTATTATTGTAACCACAGAATTGTATTGGAAGTAAAGACTTACCATAAGTGGATGAGAGATGAAGATACAGACAACAGCACTGAAGTACAGAGATTGTAGCCACATCATACCCTTGGTCTGGCCAAACCTGTCGGGAAAACATTACACAATATTAAAACTTCATACAAAACAGCAAAGTTCACCTATAATGAAATAGAAATATGGAGTAATTGAATAAAAGAATACTTTTGCTGTTATAGCTACATTTCTGCAGAAAGCAAACAATTTCATGACAATACTGTTGTAGCTTTGTAATTTTAATTGTACCTGCAATAAACTAGGCTGTGAAAACAGACTGACAATTATGCAAACTTCAACGTCAGCACCGCCCCCGCATAGTACATAAGTAGGAAATGGCAGTGAGGTAGATGTCAGTAGCCTGGGTAGTACTAAACAGGGGGTCGTTAAGCATTGACCTGCTTTTAGTTGGTATTCAGCTGGATAAAGGCAAATTCAAGTAAGTGCACTAATTGGATTTGCCTTTGTCCAGTTGGAATACATATTGCCAACTGATAGCAGTTCAATATTTACAATTTTTTTTAATTTGTTCATCTCATAGAAAAAATTTGAATTACACTTATTATGATTCAGCAATTACAATGCATGCTTGTTCAATGAATAGAACAGCCATCGCCTAGGAAGGGTCAGTGCAGTTATCCAATGTAACAATTATAACGTCAACAATGGGTCCATAGCAATCAAGCCTATATGAATGCCAACTGAATTTGGTATGGTTAAAAATAGTGGGAATGCCATATAGAGAAATAAAAAGTTAAATTATGAAAAACAAGGCAAAGTATTGTAAGTCAATCCATAGTCCCCCACCAGTAATGCGACTTCTATATTCTATATCTTAGGTCAGGATGCACCTACTGTTAGGGAAGTATCCTGATACATACTTCTCTCTCTCTGCCATCCTAAGATTGTCCTTGTACATCAAATCTGGTTACTCCAGGTGAAATAGTACTGTATAGAAATTATTGCCCAGAGAAACATTTACAAAAGTAAAGGTCAAAGGTCAAGTCATAGGTCACAGTGACCTAATTTTTGCACTTCACCATCCCAAGATGTCCTTGTACACCAAATCTGGTTACTCCAGATAAAATAGAATAGAAGATATAAGATATTGCCCGGAGAAACATTTATGAAAGTAAAGGTCAAAGGTCAAGTCATATTTTTGCACTCCGACTCCCCCATCCCAAGATGTCCTTGTACATCAAATTTAGTTACTCCAGGTGAAAAGTTTAGAAGTTGTGTCCCGGACAAACTTCTCAGACGGAAGGATGGAGTTCAAACCTCTAGTCCCCCCTGGGAACTGGTGGGGGACACTAAAAAGACACACAGATGTCATTGGTAGGTGGTCTTTTCCAACACACATGAATTTTTATTGTGATTATGACGGGGCTATCAGAACTTTATTATCATCTGTAAATGAAATATTCTTTTTCTCTATTTTAAGTGACAGTGACGTTGACAAGGTATCTGTTTGTTTTATTTTAGTTACATTAACTTTACATGTATCTTGATGATGGGGTCTAATAACCCCAAAATGTGAATACTTTGTACCTGAATCCATACAAAACCGTAACAACAGCACAGCCAAGACAGATGATTGTACACAAAGTCCAGGCCACATATTGAAACCAGTATGGCAGGAACACACGCCGCTCAAAGTTCTTCCTCGCGCTCAGCACTTCAACCAAAAGATAAACAAAATATTACAAATTCATTATTTCTTTCATTTCTTAAACAAAGTTTTCTTTCATCTTTTCCTTTTTATAATGATACCTACAATATCTCTTAAAATGATGTTTCTTCAATTTTTACTTGAATCCAGTAAAATGACTTTGAAAATGAAGTTTTGAATTAGAGTTGATAAATTCCCTTCTGAACTAATTATGCTAGTGCTTCACTTTGTTACTATATTACAAATTATATATTATATATTATCATACACAATTATATCATCATACTTGAAGTGCATGAACCTCTCACCTGACGACTTTTGACTGACAGAACTGGATACAGAAGGCGCTTTGTTCTTGATACTACTGGCCTGGGAACTGATGGTCATTTGCGGTCTTGGGTCAGTGCTGTTGGAATCCTCAAACCCACTGGAAGCTTGGTCAGTCTCGGATCCGATTACTCGCTTATGGAGTATATGTGTGGGTGTGAGAGTTGTCTGCCCCTGTTGCAGGGTGTTGTCGTTGGTTTTGCCACTGGTAGTTTCCTCTATAGACATGGTGGAGTGCTGACGTTTCATCCACTGTTTTTGTGCCCAGTCCTGAATGCTTGGCCAGTTCAAGATAGACTGGTCAAGGATACTGTAGGTCATTACTGGCTGGACAGCCTCCGAATCCTCATCATCATCTTGGGGGGCACCGTCTGGTTTGCCACTCGGGTAGTGTTTGTCTTTTTCCTCTTCCAACTCTGGGTCAACCTCACCCGTTGACCTTTGCTTCTGAAGAAAGCAAAGTCAATAAATTTGAACCAAAATGTTACATATTGACATTCTGTTAAAGGAATCAATTATGTTAAGTAAATATATATATACAACACCATTCAATTAAGAAAGTCTATAATGTAATGATGAACAATATGTCACTACCTTGTATATTTTGCTCATTTTCTACTGCATTATTACAGTGTCTGTTGCTGTATTTAAATGTTTTTTTTTGTAAACTGATACGTTGAAAAGTTATTAATAATAAAAGAATTTGAATTTGAATTTGAACTTGAACTTTAATCTATTTTGGATCACTTCTCCAACTTTTAAATGAAAACAAATCAATTCTGACTTTCACTTTCTATTCACTGGAATCGTCGCCTTATAAAGTGAACAGGTACCCAACAGTCATTACTCATCTATTGACAGCAACACATGTGAGCAGAGCTATGCAATTTTCCTGCAATAGCCTTAATTTAATCATATACCAATACTCTTTTTTGATAAATTTTTCTTTTGATTGTAACTTCTTTAATTATTTAAATATCAGAATAAAGGTCACGCTCATGTCGGAACTGACCTTGCTTCTCCGGAAAAGTAAGGCCAGAAAGAGGTTGACAGGAATGGCTACAGCACAACACATGGCACCAACTGTGACATTCCGCAGTGATAGGTCCAACAAACCAAACTCTCCTCTCACCTACGATAAAGTTATAATTTTGTTAAATATACATACGTTATTCATCATGCTATCCTTATGAGGGAGTTAGATAAACCCTTTCACCCCTCGGTAACTTGAGTAGACTCTACCATACATTCATCTGGATGAGTCCATAATGGTCTACAGTGGTGAAAGGGTAAACATGATAAAGGATAGTTACTCCTCAATGAAATGCCAAAGTGATACCAACATCAGACATCTTTGAAACCGAGGTGTTCTGCTCAAGATACAAATATCTTCTCTTCAACTTTGGAATATGTCAAGACAAAATCAAAATCTCCCTAAATAGGCTATACGATTGGTTTTAGGTATAAAAACCTGCCCGATTGTTAGGCTTACTCCTGTCGTTGGAAGACTACAGAGGAGCTAAACCCAACTTTAAAGTCTGTTCATTTTATAGTTACGCTGCCACACGATTTATTTGATCCAAGCCCTTGGATTTGAAAGATGACCATCAGAATGCTGGGTTTACAAGAAAATGAAGGATCAACATACAGGATCATTTGTATAACATTGAACCTATAGTATTATGTACATCTACTTCTGAAGGTGCCCATTTATACCACATGGCATTGAGACATATGTACATGTATACCTACCTCTGAAGGTGCCCGTTTATACCACATGGCATTGAGACACATATACATGTATACCTACCTCTGGAGGTGCCCATTTATACCACATGGCATTGAGACACATATACATGTATACCTAGCTCTGGAGGTGCCCATTTATACCACATGGCGTTGAGACGCATATACATGGATACCTACCTCTGGATGTGCCTGTTTATACCCCATGGCATTGAGACATCCGTACATGTATACCTACCTATGAAGGTGCCCATTTATACTACATGGCATTGAGACCCATGTACATGTATCCCTACCTCTGAAGGTACCCGTTGATACAACATCGCATTGAGACATATGTACACGTATACCTACCTCTGGAGGGGCCCATTTATACCACCTGGCATTGAGACATATTTACATGTATACCTACTTCTGAAGGTGCCTGTTTATACCGCATGGCATTGAGACAAATGTACATGTATACCTAGCTCGGGAGGTGCCCATTTATGCCACATGGCATTGAGAGGCATATACATGTATACCGACCTCTGGAGGTGCCTGTTTATACCACATTGCATTGAGACATATGTCCATGTATACCTACCTATGAAGGTGCCCATTTATACGACATGGCATTGAGACCCATGTACATGTATCCCTACCTCTGGAGGTTCCCATTTATACCACAAGGCATTGAGACACAGGTACATGTATACCTAGCTCTGAAGGTGCCCATTTATACCACCTGGCATTGAGACATATGTCCATGTATACCTACCTTTGAAGGTGCCCGTTTCACCCACATGGCATTGAGGCGCATATACATGTATTCCTACCTCTGGAGGTGCCCCTTTATACCACATGGCGTTGAGACGCATATACATGAATACCTACCTCTGAAGGGGCCCGTTTATACCACGTGGCATTGAGACGCATGTACATGTATACCGACCTCTGGAGGTGCCCCTTTATACCACATGGCGTTGAGACGCATATACATGTATTCCTGCCTCTGAAGGTGCCCATTTATCCCACAGGGCAGTGAGACACAGGTACATGTATACCTAGCTCTGGAGGTGCCCATGTGGTATAAATGGGCGCCTCCAGAGGTAGGTTTACATGTATAAGCGTCTCAATGCCATGTGATATAAACGGGCACCTTCAAAGGTAGGTATACATGTAAATATGTCTCAATGCCTGTTTATACCACATGGAATTGAGACGCATATAGATGTATACCTACCTCTAAAGGTGCCCATTTATCCCACAGGGCAGTGAGACACAGGTACATGTATACCTAGCTCTGAAGGTGCCCATTTATCCCACATGGCATTGAGACGCTTATACATGTACACCTACCTCTGAAGGCGCCCGTTTATACCACGTGGCATTGAGACGCATGTACATGTATACCTACCCCTGAAGGTGCCCGTTTCACCCACATGGCATTGAGAGGCATATACATGTATACCTACCTGTTGGGGTGCCCGTTTATACCGCATGGCATTGAGACAATAGTATTATGTACATCTACTTCTGAAGGTGCCCGTTTATATCACATGGCATTGAGACACGTATACATGTATACCTACTTCTGAAGGTGCCCATTTATCCCACAGGGCAGTGAGACACAGGTACATGTATACCTACCTGTTGGGGTGCCCGTTTATACTACATGGCATTGAGACGCATATCCATGTATACCTACCTCGGGAGGTGCCCGTTTATACCGCATGGCATTGAGACATATTTACATGTATACCTACTTCTGAAGGTGCCCATTTATACCGCATGGCATTGAGACATATTTACATGTATACCTACTTCTGAAGGTGCCTGTTTATACCGCATGGCATTGAGACACACGTACATGTATACCTAGCTCGGGAGGTGCCCATTTATGCCACATGGCATTGAGACTCATATACATGAATACCTACCTCTGAATGTTCCCATTTATACCACAAGGCATTGAGACACAGGTACATGTATACCTAGCTCGGGAGGTGCCCATTTATGCCACATGGCATTGAGACCCATGTACATGTATCCCTACCTCTGGAGGTTCCTGTTTATACCACATGGCATCGAGACGCATATACATGAATACCTACCTCTGAATGTTCCCATTTATACCACATGGCATTCAGACATATGTACATGTAGACCTACCTCTGAAGGTGCCTGTTTATACCACATGGCATTGAGACACATGTACATCATGAGCAGAGTGAGACAGCAGGTGAGACGCTGTGTGCGAGTGAAGTGACTTGGGGATGGATGGGTAAACAGCGACGTCCACAGGTGGTGGTCGGCCATGTACTGTGTGCCCTTAGCCCAGAATACCTATAACAAGTAAACTACCACACTGATTGATATGTAAAACTTTAAGCTTAATTATTATAATAATTCTTGTGGCTATTTTTCATTCTTACACATGATTAGAAAGATGTTTTTCAACAAAACAAATATTGACATTATTTCGAGATTCATGAGCATTATCATAACAAGGAATTGACCCATTTCTTTCTACTTTGAGGACAATAAATAAAGGAAACAACTCTCTACATGTCATTCTGGGGAACAGCTGGACTTATAAATTACATTGTATAATTGGAACAATTGACTGGAGACTCAAAACTTTTTGATCTTATCTCCTCAGCAACAAATTATTAGAGACCAACCAACCCCCC